AAATTTACCATTTATTTGAACCTTACTTTGTGTTAGACCTGTGCTAAGCATTGTTTAGATGTGATATAAACTGCAGATAATGACTGCTTTAGTTGGACTGGAAAAACAACAGGTTATTTCTTTTGACTTAAAGCTAAATATAAAAAAAATGCTGAGTTTGGTCAGTGATTTACATTTTATAACTAAACATTTAAAACTGTTGTGGGAAAAAAGTTCCTGCAGAAAAGTAAGCAGTATAAATTGTCTATTTTTAAATCCCTTAATTCTCAGAAAAGTATTGATAAACAATATTTTTAATAATTTAGTATTTGTTGGGGATGTATTCTCCTGTCACAGTAAGACTTTGAATTCTTAAAGATCTTCATTTTAAAAGTCTGTCATGTTCTTGTACTCTATACTAGTAAGACTCTGCCTGCCTTCCTCATAGACGAAAATTCAGAAGGTAGCTGGGGGCTTCTGTCAATGAATGGTGTGTGGATAAAGTAGGGAAAAAAATCTCTACTAATTCTAAATGATAATCCAAAGAACTGAAGTTTGAGTTAATATTTTAAGCATCCCTATAATAACTCCACTCGCTATTCTGATAGGATGCTCTGACGCGAGGCGTATCAGTAGGGTCTGGCCTTAAATGCTCTTAGCTTTCTTTCCTTTTAAAGTGATTTTACATGATGCCTTATCAGCTGTATTAATATTGTCCTTGAAATTACAATTTTAAAGCTTCTACCTCTTACAGCCAAGATGTACCTAAATGAATCCTGCTTCTATCAGATAAAATTAACTAAATCTTCCTCAAGTCTTTCAGAGCTGTTGCCTAAGAGGGACTCCTGAGCACAAGTCTGAGATGGTCAGATTCTCCAGATGAAGCTTGCAGGTGCTATGCTGGTTATACAGAGAAGCCAACCACAATAACTTGACCAGGTGAAACATCTCTGTCATGCAACAGACAGACTGCCTTGAGAAAGACTGAGGGAGCATGATTACCTGAGGTGGTCAAATTTCTAAGGAGAAACAGCTTTTCTGAGCTATCTCTGTTTATTCAAAGCTGCTAAGCATCTCTCATAGCCAACATACCATCACTTCATAGGTATGAAGTTAACAAGCTCACTGCAAATCAAAATACAACACTCTAGGAAGTTCAGTCTAGCAGATAGTTGCTGGAGAAAAATGATACAGGTATAATAACAAAGGCTACTTTCTAAAACACTAGCTCTTGAAATTCCTTCAGTGTGTGAAACTTGATATTTCTGTGTGTAATGAAGTTAGTCAAACAGCAATGTCTGAGGGCACAGTCTCGACTGCCCTCACTTTTGAGACAAACAGCAAGTTAGCAGGGTTCCCAAACTGCCCTAAGGATCAATAATTCACTAAGAACTCATAGAGCTCACTGAAAGCTACTAACTCACAGATAAGGCTTATTACAGGGAAATGATACAGAAAATTAGCCAAAGGAAGAGGTACATAGCAGCCTGGGAGGGTTCCATTGTCCCCTGGAACCATTACTGTCCTGGTATTACTGAGTGGGAATCCATATGGAGGGCTGTGAATCCAAGAGCTCATCCCTACTGCAGTGTGCAGTTGTATTGGGCCTCACTATACAGCTTCATTGGCTGACTGCCCACATGGTTCAGTCTCCAGCATCCCAACTCCACTGAAACCCCATCAGCTGAGGGAGAAGACACCACGAATAACAAATTTCTATCACTAGGGAAATTCCAAGGGTTTAGGTTACCCCACTCACCCAAGCCCAGATGTCTCCTCAGTAAGGCCACATCCTTCCTACCCAGTTGGACCAGATGAAAAATAGAATCTTATAAAGAATATTATTTTAAAAAGGTAAGAGAGGCTGGTAGAGCAATGGCTATAATTCTAGCTACTCAAGAGGCAGAGATCAGGAGGACAGCGGTTCGAAGCCAGCCCAGACAAATAGTTTGTGATAGCCTATCTTGAAAAATCCCATGACAAAAAAAGGGCCGGTGGAGTGGCTCAAGGTGTAGGCCTGAGTACAAACCATAGTACGGTTAAAAAAAAAAAAAAGGTAAGAGAGAATGATGTAGAATGGATGAATCTGAGCTACTGAGGAGAAAAAGATTGGGAGAACTGAGGTTTGAGGCTAGCCCAGGCAAAAAATTAACAAGCCAGACAGTGTGGTATGTGCCTGTATGCTGGAGACATAGGTAGCAGGACTGCAGTGCAGGACTGCAGTCCAGGCCTGCTTGGGGGAAAAACAGCCTCTATCCGAAAATAACTAAAGTGAAAAAGGGACAGGGATGTGGCTTAAGTGGTAGAGTACCTGCCTAACAAGCACAGGTCCTGAGTTGGAACCTCAGTAGTGCCACCTCCCCTGCAAACCAAAAAAGCAAAACAGAGGAAAGGACACTATCCAGGTTCTGTTTAAGACTGAGTCTAACCCATAGGCCTGTGCTGTCTTGTAGCGGAAAAGTATTCCTGTAGTCTCTCATTCTGAGAGCCAAACCCAGACATGACAGCTGGGCAGGCTACACGTGAGAATTTTCTCATCTAAAAGCAGACATATAGCTCTCTATAAAATTCAGCTTCTGCTAATTTTCTAAACTGCTAAACGCATAGTTTTGGTTCTTTTGCCCCTTCTATCCAAACACTATTAGTTCAATTGTATCCTTCTCTCCCTCTAATTCATATGCTGAAGTCCCAGTACCTCAAAATGTTACTGTACTTGGAGAGTTTTTCAATAGGTAATTAAGTTAAAAATGAGGTCATAAAGGTAGGTCTACTCCAATATTTCTGTACTTATTTATATAAATATATTAAAAACACCCCAGAAGATAAGGACACAGACATGCAGAGGTGAAGGACACAGACATGCAGAGGTGAAAGACACAGGGAGAACATGGCCATGTACAAGCCATGGAGAGTAGCCTTAAAAGACCCACTATGTCAACACCTGGAGCGTCCAGTCTCCAGACCAGTGAGAAAATAAATAAGCCACCAGTCTTTGGTGCTTTACAGCTTTGGAAAACTACAGTCAACCACCAATCCATGTCCAGTTTTTCACAACCATTTAGCACCATTCTCTTCCTTTTCTCTTTCACTTGTGAGTACTCCTATCAGGTACTTCTGGTTCTTGGTTGTCATGGCCCCAACCAAACCTCACATCCGCTGTCAGAACACTATTCCTAGGAGTACAGGAGTCAGGATGCACAACTGGTCAAACACCTCCCAGAGAATTCTTGCTAACTAGGACCAAGGTTCCCAGTCCAGCAGCTAAGGACCTACTAACCACTCCAGCTCTATCTTGGACTAATCTTCCTGAGTCAAGCCCTTGATCGTCACTAAAACAACTACAGAGCATGATTTTTCTCCCAAATGTCTTTCTTTTCTACCTACTCAATACCCTTTTCAGCCCTTAATCAAACACCATCTTTATGAAGATTTCAGAGATCATTCTAGTCTGAATTGATCTCTGATTTATCTTAAATTTTAGTTATTTTTATGGCTTTCATCTCATAATGAAAAAATACAGTGGGTGCCAGAGTCAAAAGTTCTCACAGCACATACATAGAAAGGTTAAAATATGTTACTTTACCATTGGGGGAAAAGAAACACAAAAGCTAAAAATACATATGTAGAGTATCTTTTAATATCAAATCTATACCCAACTGATAAGATGGCACATTAATATTATACATTTTTGGGGGGTTTCTTTTTGGCCATACTGGGGTTTGATCTTAGGGCTACATACTTGCTAGGCAAGTGCTCTACCATTTGAGCCACACCCCCAGCCCTTTTGCTTTAGTTATTTTTCAGGTTAAGGTCTTACATTTTTCCCAGACTGGCCTCAGACTGCAACCCTCCTACCTATGCCTCACATGTAGTTGAGATTACAGGTAAATACAACAACACCTGACTTATTTGTTGAGATGGGGTCTTGCTTGTCCAGGTTGGCCTCCAACTGTGATCCTCCTGAGCTCTGCCTCCACAGTAGCACTGATTACATAAGTGAGCCACCCAACCTGTCATATTAATCTTTTTAAAGTGAGATCTGTGATTCATTTCTAGATGTTTCTCTCTACTACCCCTAAGAGTCAATTTACTAAGGAAGACTGGCAGTTTTTATCTGTTTAAATATACACGAAGCCATCTTTTTTGCTAAAAAAAAAAAAAAGCAATTTAATCAACATTAAAATAACACTAATATCTATTACCACACAAATTGCACTGTAGCAGAAACAAGTATCTCTACCTTGAAGTTTAATCATTTTATAAAATACTTATAAACATGTACAAGGAAGGAGGTCAGAGCTCAGTGCAATGTTTTAACTAAGCCTGTCACAACACCTTTTTTTGCTTCACTAATTTGCACATGCACTAGTAACAGAGATTATACAATGAAATCATTTATATACTCAGGAAAAAAGCTGAGTGATGTCTTCTTTCCTATTGTGAGAACTGGCAATAAAGACAACATATAGGCTATGGGTCACGGTCACACTGATCCATCAATTACAGAACATTCATTCAAACATTCCAAGGATTAACAGAGGTAGCAATCTAACATCACCCACACAATCAAGGGGAAGGTAAAGTCTACTATTTAAATGCTTTCAAGGTACATGAAGAAATAAAAGTACTTTAAACATTGAGAAAGGTAGGTATCCAAATTTGGACATACTAATCATTTTGCTATATAAAAGTGAATGCTTTCAATGTTTCTATTAATTGAGGGAGCAATTTAACATTACCTTCATAAACAAGGGCCTTCCCTCTTTTATTTTATGCCAAATGAAAATTCTATCACCATTGCTTTCATTTTCCTTAGTTCATAAAATACACTGAATTTTAGCAAGTTTTCACCAAATATCCTTTTCTTTTATCTGGATGTCTCTGCAGCAGGTAACATGGCCCCATCTTGACCAACCAAAAACATTTCCAAATATTCTATAGTCCACAAACTATTCCTATGCAAAAAGCAACACAAGTGCTTTAATCTTAAAGAGTATATTATAGTGGCATTAAAAACTCACTTGAACTTCGCTTCTACCTCTTCAGCAGCTTTCTGATATTGCTCGGTGGTGACTTTGTAGAACTCTGAGCTCTGTGGACCAAGATTAGTAACAGTTTTAATTATCCAAGGAGAAAAAAATGTGTGGAAGACTTACAATTTCAAAAAATATATCCAATCTTGTTTCAGCCACTCAGCAGTAGAAGGAATGCTTGCCTAAGTGGCATGGATACTAACAGAAATACATGTAAGGCTATTTATTTAAGTAAAAATACCACTGCTGATAAACAGATTAAAACTTCAGAACAAATTTTTATAGTAATAATTCATCATTATTTGAGGCTTCTGAGAAAATATCTAATATATAATTGAAAGACAAAAAATAGTATTAAGAAACAGATTACTTGAATACTAATTATTGTAATGAATAAAAAACCAGATTACTTGGATCTATGTTACTTGTACTCTACCACTGTGAGGTCAAAGGATGCTTGAGGTCAAACAATGAAATTCATACACATTCATATTTGCCTTTTAGCCCATCAGGGTTCCAACTTGGATGGTGGAGGATTATTTCTTTTACATAATATTTTGTCTTCAAGATGGGACTCTATATGAAACAGAATTTCACTCCATAATTACAAGAGCATCAACATCTATAACATTCATCAGTAGGAATGAAGGAGCAGCCTTAGGTTATTTTAATACTAAAAGTATCCACTGTTACATGAACATCTAAACAACATGAACCAAGTTGCAGTGACAAGTGATCAATTTCCTAGGGCAATAAAATTGAAAATGACCCATTATGACTAGCTAGTTTGAAACCAGTAATGTTATTGGGGGTGAGAGGTGGGAGGGGACACAGGATACCAGAAGACCTCAGATTCAATGAAATCTCCTGCAAAACACATGGCAATGCCAAAGAACACAACACAACACAGAGGTCTATTATGCACCTTCACTCCCTAATCACCCAAGTTTCATGTGCGTGGTAGTTTATTTTTTAATAAATCATTGTTGGTTGGTGAGAAAATGAAAATGAAATCCTCTTCACACAAGCGACCCCTTTACATTTAAGAATCTGGGTTGCCCAATGATAGTCACATCCAGGATTCTAGAATGCAGATAAAATCAATAGATATGTGATTAGACAGCAGACTGAGGGTGGCTGGAGCCATGGACAGGTCACCATTTGTGATGATGAATGGCTTTCTATCAGCCTATAGTCCCCTACGATGCTAACATTTACTATAATCTTATTTGGGCTATGATTTATCTTTCTTGCACCTGATCAATAAAGATGAACAGAACAGTTGTAAAGATCGATTGTAATTTTTTATCATTTTCAAGCACAAAGGTGCATTTCTAACACAAAGACAGTATTCCAAGTGTACTGCTTCTGCATTTTAAAAATGCAATTTTAAGTGATCAACTGCAGTAGTCTATATGCTGAGAGGTTTTAATTTATCTGTAGATCTAAAGCTATCAGAAAGCCATTTGTCTTCTTGGATACTATAACTCTAGGTTATGTCACACCTTCCTATCTGTTCCACTCATAAAATTTTCCTTCCTTTAAAATATACACCAGTCACAACATGTTTGGCTTAATCTTTTCTTTGAACCTTTTTAACAAAGAGGCAGCAACAAAGGCAATTACTAATCTATCTCTAATGATGAGAAACTCCCAAATTACTGTGATTACCTGTCAAGTGGGCATTATGTTACTAAATTATCTACTAAAATGCTGGCAAAGCAACAACATCTTGATTAATAACTTCATTTATTTTAGCAATGACACTGTAACATCTGGACAGGACTGAATTGAAAGATCTGGTTTCTAGTTCTGTTCTGTGACCCTCAGTAGCTCTTTCAACCTCCTCCAGCTTCCATTCCACTGTTCCTATATATGGATAATAACATTTGCACTGTTTATATCTACCCAACCTGTTTTAGAAATCACATAAAATATGCAATAGAACTGTGAAACCTTTAAGTACTGTTGCTTAGTAAGATTAAATAATAAAATAATTTTGGAAGAAAATAACTAATATGGAAAATTCCATATTGGGCACAAATTCTAAATGATAAAAAATAAATATGAAGTTTTCTAACAACATTGATGCATTGAAAGAAGATTTCGATAAAAATTGGTGAGCTCCTCTCTCCTTTGTAATGAGGTAAAATGATACAGATTTGTGTCAAAATTTCCCTAGCATGTTAACCACCAAAAAAACTGTACCTGTATATGCATGCAAACTTAGCATACAGTTGTCATATTAAAGCTTTATTTATCTCCATACTTCCACCTCAGTGACCAGATTTCCATATTGCAAACATCTTTCTAACAATGAAAAGTCCCCAGGAGGCAGCATTGTCTTAATACTGAGGGAAGAAACACAAATGCACTCAAGATATGCACAGTGTTAATTTAAGTATTTACTTAGTCATTCAGCAACATCTTGGCAAATGAGACCCTCGAGAAGTTAAGAGAAACAATTACAGTGAAAGGACACAAGTGTTACTAAAGTTCAGAAATAACAGAGATCTCCTTTGGCCTCAGGAAACACTGAAACAAAACAAACCAAAACAAACCACTACCCATTCAAAATCAAAGAGAGAAAGTCTCAATACATTTGCTGATGGGAGATTGAATAAATACTGGGTATTCATATTTTGGGAATTTATAGAGTAGAGAAAAATAATGACAGATGTATAAATATACAGAGAAAAGAAGCACATTGATGATATGTGGTAGGATGCAATTTATACCAAGTTTGAAAAAGTGCAGAATAATGAATAGGAATACTAAATAACAAATTCCTTTGATTATCTACCTCCAAGTGGCAGCAGATGTGCAGAAGGTCAGAGTACCAAAGAAGGAAGAGAGCATGGGGTTTTCACTGCATTGTTCTATTCCTTAAAATGAAATATGGCATGCAGCTAGCTGTTAGATTGGTTTTAAATATTTCTTAATAATATAAAAACTATATTAATCAGCCTTATACGAACAAAGCGGCTAAGTAGTAACAATAAATTATTTCACTTGGCTAGTACATAAAAGTATGTCTGGAGGAGAGGGATATATGCTGAAGAGGTTGGCAAGTGGAGATTTTATATATTCTTTCATACTAAGCTGCTATACTTTCCATCTTTTTGTTGTGAAATAATTTCAGACTTACACAAAAGGGGAATAAATAAGAGATCCTCATGTATCATTCAGCTTTCCCTCATATCAATAGCTTAGGCACAGTGCACTTAGCAAAGTAGTCGTAGTCATAGTAATTGGTATTAACTAAAGTACAAACCATATTTGGACTTTCCACTAATATTTTTCTGTTTCAGGATCTAGCACTTAGCTGCTCTAACTCCTTAACCTCTTCAGTCTTCTCTTGTCTTTTATGACTTTGACCTGCTAAGGACACTGGTGAGATAATTTGCAGAATGCCTTCCAATGTGGGCTTGTTTGGTCATGACTGGGTTGAGCTCATGCGTGATCGGAAAGAATTTCATAGAAGAAATGGGCTGTTTTTTTTGTGCATGACCGCAGGGACTATCTTAAGTTGCCGGATCTTTCCACTGATGTTGACCTCGATCACTTCATGATCACTAGATCACTTGTTGACCTGGTGTGGCAAAGATTCTCCACAGTAAACTATTTTTCCTCTTGTAATTAATCTCTTGCAAGTGATACAGGTACACTATGAAAATGCCCTGTTTCTCATCAAAGTTTTGTCATTCATTGTGTATCCATTGATGAGTCTTGTCTACAAAAATGACTAATTGTGGTGGTCTTTTGATGCACTTAGTTTAAAATGACATTATTGTACACTTAGATCTTAGTAATATAATGACAATATTCATTTCCTCTTTTATTCAATTATGAATAAAAAGCCTTTTGAAATAAAAATCTTCAGAGACTGGGTAGCTGTTCTCAGGCAAGTATAAATTCCCCATAGACTCATCATATGGAATGGGAGGTAAACAAAAGAGGGGACAAAGAGGAGAAGTTAAAGAGCTAGACAGGGGCAGAAGCTGCATGGTTTTTAAAGCGGCACTGGAGTTTGAATTCAGGGCCTTGTGCCTGTTAGGTGCTCTACCACTTGTGCTATGACCCCAGTCTCTTTTGCTTTAGGTACTTTCTAAGTCGGGTTTTGTGTTCTAGCCCATCCCCCTTCCCCCTTTAAATCACGATCCTCCAGATTTCAGCCTCCCAAGTAGCTGGGATTACAGATGTGAGTCACTGTGCCAAGCTGGAAGTTACATACATAGATTAGTGTGGACCCTGAGTGAGGATGACATGCAAACTCGTGAAACATTTCATATTTTTTATGATCAAAGTATGTCATGTATGAAAATGTCACAATGAAACCTACTTCTTTGTACAATTAACATATGCTAATAAGAAATAAAAGCACATCTGGGAATGGTGGCTTATGCATGTAATCCCAGCTACTTGGGAGACAAAGGTTAGGAGGCTCGTGGTTTGAGGCCAGCCTGGGCCAAAAGTTAGCAAGCCTCCATCTCAACAAATCAGCTGGGTATGGTGGTACACAGCGTAACTCCTATTACATGGGAGGTATAGGCTGGAAGATAGTTGTCCAAGATGGGCCCTGGGCAAAAACACAAGACCCTCTCTGAAAAATAACTAAAGCAAAAAGAACTGGGGGCACGACTCAAGTGCTAGAGTGCCTGCTGGCAAGCCAACCCAGAGGTTCTGAGTTCTAACCCCTGTACTTAAAAAAAAAGTGAAAATAATTTAAAAAGACAGAGTCAAAAAAGAGCAGATGGGAAAAGATACTTATGATTTTGCAAGGTGATCTTTCCAATGAATGATTATTGCTTTGTGTAAAAGCTTACCACTTCTATGTCTGTAAGAACCTTGACAGACTACAATTAAAAATATCTCCACTTACACTCATATTCATGCTGCATAGCTTCTTCTGCCTCATCAACAGCAAAAAAAAAAAAAAATCATGATTTTCCCATTGGTAGTATGGATTTGTGGCAGGTAAATGTGATTTAAATCAAGTATTAAGGGTCTGATTTATTAATTTCTTCCTTCAAGACAGAAACTTTTATTGATGTAAGTA